CAGGGTGACGTCATCATTTAACTGATTCAACTCATTCAGTTGCAGTGATTTGAGGCGGACGGGGGTATTGTAATTATATTATCGATTGGTAATCAGTCAATGGTTATGATTAGTAATGAGTTGCAGATTAGTAATTAGTCTGAATGTGTGTTATTGTGATTATATGCTACGTTAGTAATCCGTTAATTAGTATGTGTTTCCCCTATAAGGAATTGTAATATGTATTATTTAATAATACGCTTCCAAGCCGCACTAAGCCTGTAGCTGTCAGAGCGATTAAAGTTATTTATATTTCTCTCAATTTCAATGGATTCTCTAATTAGTCTTTGCCAGTAATAATTAGTTTTACACAACACTTCAACGTTATCAAATCACTTGAGTGTTCTTGTTGACAAGCATGTTCTGCCACTGCCGACAGTTGTGTTTGAGATCATTTAATATTTCTTTGGTGTTCTTTTAGTCTTATGCTGATGTTACGTCCCGTCTGTCCAATATAGCATCTGCCACATAAACAATAATCCGATATACACCTTCTGTTGATAATTTATGTAATTCGTTTTTAGTGCAAGATACTACATTTTGATTTAAAGCTTTCGTGACTGCAGTATTCATATTCTTAGCTCTTTCGGTAAAGTCACGTTTACCAAAAGAGCTAAGATTATGCAAGATACTAGTTTTTTTTTATTTTGTGTACTGTACCAAATCTTACTGTAATGTTTTGCTTTTGCAAAACACGGGGTAATTTGTAAGTTACTCCTGAGATATATGGAATTTTAATTGTTTTAACAATCTGATCGTTTTCAGCAGTGTTGCTTTGCGATTGTGATTTGGCATTCAGTGCTCTGTTAATTTGAGTATTAGTGTAGCCATTTAGCCTGATGTATGAGCGTCTTGATAAGAGAGGATTTCTGAGCTGGATTTTGATGCGAATCTGCATTCAGATAGGCATCAGTGTGCGTTTGCTTTCTGTAAACGCTGTGTGTTATTTTACCGTTTAGACCATGTCCAAGCAAAATATCTAGGAACGGGAGTGTGTTATTCACCTCCATTTCCATGGTGAACTGGATGGCCGGGTTTTTGTGCATTGAGATGATTTAGAAAATAATTAAGTGTATCTTTACCATGTGGCCAGACAACCAAAGTGTCATCCACATATCTAAACCAAAAAGATGGTTTTAACGTGCTCGAGGCAAGTGCAGATTTGCTATAGCAGGAGATGAAGGAGAGCCCATTGCTGCTCCTTCCTTTTGTTTAAAGAAATCTCCTCACCATAAGAAGTGAGTGTTATTTAAACAATGGTCAGCAAGTTTCGGAATATCTTTTGGTAAACCTGTATTCTTTTCTAGTGTATCAAGTAATTTAAGCGATGCGTTCACTGGAACCTTAGTGAATAGAGAAATCGCATCAAAACCTACCAGAATATCATTAGGATTAAGTTTAATATCTTTAATCACATTCACAAGATGTTCTGAATTTCTTATGAATGACGATGTCCTACCGATGTAGGGCTGTATTTGTTTAGTTATATATTTTGCTAATTTATATGTGGCAGAGCCAATTGTACTGACTATGGGTCGTAATGGGATGCCGATTTTATGAATCTTTGGTAGCCCATACGTCTAGGTGGGTTTGAGGCCCTTGGTTTAATTTGGTATTTCTCATTCTTAGGGATTAATGAATTTGCAATTATTGCAGTAGTATTGCGTTCTAAAGTATTAGTTGAATCTCGTTTAATTTTAATGTAGGTACTTTCCTCTAGTAAATTTCTAATTTTATTATCGTAATTAGCTCATGACATCACTACAGTAGTGCGGCCTTTATCAGCTGCCAGGATTTGGATATCTTTATTTACACGGAGCTCTCTTAAGGCTTTTGCTTCGTCAGAGCTAATATTAACTTTTGGAACTTTGCTATTCTCAATTATTTTGGCAACCTCGTGTCTAGTCATCTCTGCCTCATTATGTGGAAGGAGTCTTACTGCTGATTCTACCTCAGCAATTATCTCATCCACTGGAATTGTGCATGGGGTAACGGCAAATATAAGGCCTTTAGAAAGGACAGAGATCATGTCACTGGTTAAAACAGTGTTAGTCAAGTTCATTACGGTTTTGTTTTTAAATTGTTCGTTTTTAGTATGGATTTGTTTATTATGAAGTCTAAAAAATGTATTCATTCGGTTAGTTTTTGTTAGACTAAACACATTATCAGCAGATTGTTGTGTTATGGTATCGATTATATTCCAATAATGCATGGATACATTATTGCTCATATCTAAGTGTAACTGCTTTAGCGATTCCGAAATGTAAGATAATTCACTCCTGTTGTGCTGTATTCTCTCTATTAATAATAATTCGCTGGCTTTGTGTAGTATTTGGTTAGCTTTAGAAGACTTTATGTGATGTGTTATTTTAACTGCGTTTGGTATTACCTTTGAATCTCTGCACCTTTTGAGGAACGCCAGTGAAGATATCAATTTAATCCGCTTAATGCGGAGCTTCTCCAACTTTCTGGTTTTAAGAAAAGTATCCTCCCCATAGAGGTTAGTCAGTTTAACACGTAGGCTTTCGCGACCAATATTATTCATAATAAAGGTTTTTGCTTTAGATCGCCTTATTTATAAATGTGTCATAACCCTCCACCACTCGACACGGCCAATCAGCAAAAAAGTGTCACGTTGACAAAAGACAAATAGTTCACTACTTTAGCCCACCGGCGTGTTGAAGAGTGAATCCACAACATTTACAGTTTGAGTAAGAAATTTGCTTGTAAATGTAAGCTCGGAGAGAGCTCGGAAAGAGCCATCGCCACATGGAGATGGAAAGGGATGGCCAGCCATCACTTACTAACACAGATAACGGTGGCTGTGTTAGTGAATGTAACTCAGAGTCAAAAATAACTGCTAACATAGGTAGGTAGGAAGGGAACAACACAACCAGTTATGACCTAAGCTGGTAGATAACGTCCTTCCAATGATTTCTCAGCTTGTACCCATCTTCTCGATTGAAATTGTCTCCGTGTTTATATATCTGGATGGCTTCATGAACAAATCTTTGCTGATAGCCAGTGGGTTTGCAGAGTACCTTCGTCGTAGAAAAATTGGTGCATCGGTAGCTTTTAGGACAAAAACAATCTGAAAATCCGAGATTTTTTTTCAAGGCACCCAGATCTCGATTTTTAGTGCTCCATAAACATGTTTGTGCGTATCATTAGCAAACCTGTGAAAACTATGAGATTTAGTTTTTTTTGGGTTGATAGAGCATTAAACGGCTAACAATATTAAAGCGAGAACCATTGTATTATCTTTTATTGTTTTGAAATATTTCGGATTCAAGCAGTTTCGAACGAACAATACGCATGTTTGATGTTTAAATCATAATAATTCGAAAACGGTAAAAGAAAGGAGCTTCCTCTCAAAGTATTAAGTCCATTAATTTGTGTTATTTCTGATGATTTAAATCGAGCAGTTTCCAATGGGTACGGCTTTAAATCAGATGAGTTTTTTGTTTGGATTAGATCGTGTAAATATATAAATGTGTCGTTTAAAACGTGCCATCACCCGACACAGCCAACTAGTAAGGGTTGTCACGTAAACAAAACATGCCAATTCGTCACTAGTACAGCACTAGTGTATAGTGCAGTGTATAGTGGCCTGTGTAGCAGTGTATAGTGTACAGCACACCAGTGTGTTGGAGAGCCAAACCACAATATTTACAATCTGAGTGCGACGTTTATATATTTACGCGATCTAACCCCCAAAACAAACTCTTATGGATGATATTGGTCGCGAAAGCCTACGTGTTAAATAAGAAGTTGAATTAAGTCGTCAATAATAAATAAATAAAATTGCGTACAAATGAATAAATTTGGAGTAGTTGTTAGTGTCTGATCGTGCATACAAAAATTTGTCAAAAATAATATTAGGTCATATTTCTTGAAAACGTTTGCCTGGCGAAGACAGGCTTCATGAACTAGTATTTAATAATTATTGGTTCTTTCGGTAAAGTCACGAAGAAGGGAAACAATACAATTCTAAAAATATAAAACACCTGATGATGATTGCTTGTGTTGCAGTCGAAACGTCGTGAGAATTTTATTGTTTTATATTTTTACTATTGTATTTTTTTCCCTTCTACGTGACTTTACCGAAAGAACCAAGAATATGAATCCATGCAGTCACGAAAGCTTTAAATCAAAATTTAGTATTTAAACAGTTATAACATTAGTATTCTGAGGATGCATTCCCAGCCTCTGTAACATACCATTAATTCATAAAAAACTTCATAACTTACCATTCACATTGTAAACAAATGCAATTTTATATTGAAAATAATATTTTATTTCATACAGCACACCATTACAATGAAAAATTATACAAATAAAATAAACATAGTGCACTATAAAGTATATTCACACTTACCAGCGTAGTCTTGTAAGTGTGAATATGCATTGCTGGCCGAGACGACTATCAACACTCTGACCTTCGCGATCCGCAACGCTCAAGAAACCATATCTTATTCTAATTTAATTATATATAGTACCGTAGATTGGTTATTTATTATTGATTGATTTCAGTGTATTTATGTATTACTTTACTTTAATATTTTACCGTTCAAAAATGGTAATACATCGAAAGTTCGCTCCAATGAAACTTCACGCATCAAATATTCGCACATCAAGGTGTTACTATATATACGTTATTCATGATTTTATAAATCTATTTATTTTTTCGTGACGTGGTTACCTTTTCTCTATGTTTATTCCTATCGTTTTTTGTTGTTGTTGTAACATGCTGAACCGTCCCCTACTGAATATCTGTGAAAAAGAGCTTCACAGCTCATCGGATTTCTCCTCCAGTCTAAATGCTCGTTTCTGATTCTGACATCACCAGCACTTGCACGCCAAAATCCCCGATGTCAAAGGCTATGGCAGGACGTGTCTGAATTTGTTGATATTAAGATTTAAAATCAATGATCACTCTGCCCTCCCCCCTCTTTCCCTAGCTGAATATGGACTCAATCACGCCGCAGTGAAAGTCACCGAACAGCCGCTCCTCAACCCATCGGATCCGAACTTTGAAGAGGAACTCATAGACATGGTCATTGACGAGGTGGAGGTAGCACAAGAAGAACTAGGCACCTCTTCTGCCCTATCGTCAACATCATCACAGTCTTCACCACCACGACCATCATCATCGTCATCTTATGTGTCTGCGCAGGATTCTACAGTCATGAACGCTGATGTCAAGTACGCACTGTGGGCTCGATCCCCTGCACATTGATCAGCACTGCCCATTGACTCAACATTGCATATAGACTCAGACTCCACACTGCCCATAGACTCAACAACGTTGCACATAGACGAAACACTGCACTATTGACTCAACGCTACCCATAGACTAAGCACTGCCCATAGACTCAACAACACCGATCATAGACTCACCAGTGCCCATATACTAACACTGCCCATAGACTCAATGCTGCATACAGACTCAACGCTGCCCATATACTCAACATAAAGTGGGTGTGCAATTGGGTGAGTGGGTATGTGGGTGAGTTGATGAGTGAGTGGGTTGGTTTAATGTGAGTTTTTTTTTTACCTTGTGTGTGTGTGCGCCGTGTCAACCCCTCCACAGAGAGCTCGCCAAGATCGTGGGAGAGCCTCCAAAGCAATCTCTCCGTGGCACTCACATTGAAACCTCCAATCAGGTTTGTTCATCAAAACCTTGCCCATCGCGGTTTTTCCCATCGCGGATTTTGCCGTTTGTGACAATTTTATTGAGGTGCAGTTCACAGATCACGCTCCTTTGGCTCGTACGTGTACGTATGTTGAACTTCTTTCACCGCCATACGTAGCCAACGTGGTTGACCACGAGATTCCTGCACCGTAATGGATCGTAAATAAATACTGGGCAGTTACTCTATCTGTACTGCTCGCGGTAACGCTGCTATGGAAGAATACACGAACTATCTTGTCTCCAATTTCGATTTAAAGCTTTCGTGACTGCAATGATTCATCTTCTTTGGTTCTTTCGGTAAAGTCACGTAGAATGAGAATAAAATAATAAATTGATAAAATAAAATAACACAATAATATTCTCACGACATTTCGGCCACAACACAAGCGGCCTTCATCAGGTGAAGGGACGAGACTATCTGGAGGACAGCGAATATTATTGTGTTATTTTATTTTATCAATTTATTATTTTATTCTCATTCTACGTGACTTTACCGAAAGAACCAAAGAAGATGTATCTTGCCTCCGTCTTTTCTCCCCAGCGGTCAATCACAGTTCCCAGGTCAAGTGGTATTCCCAACCTCCATTGAGGCCGCCCGTGACTTTTCAGATTGTTTGTATTTCACATATTGTGTCTTATATACTGTGTGCCTGGGTATTTTGTACCATCGAAAACTCCACCCCCATAACTCCCAATTGGTGATGGGGAAGTTGTGGCGAGAGTGGAGAGTTTATCATACCTGAGCAGTGTGCTCATGATTGTCTCCAGTATTACAGCAGAGGTCTCACTCCGAATCAGTTGAGCGGCATTATCTTATCATCGGCTGCGTAATACTGTGTGGAAGCTACCTGGTCTGTCGCTCCACACAAAGCTCCAGGTCTTCTCTTCCATAGTAATCCCTTCCCTTCTCTATGCTTGCGAAACGTAGACCACCGTAATGGAACATCTTCGCCAGTTATACACATTTTGGCTGGCCTACCTACGATCCATCCTGGGTTTAACCAGGCTGGTTTGTTTGAGTAGCTTACAAATTATTGAAAGATGTGAGACAAAGTCCCATTGGTAAGCTCCTCCGGCAGGAAAGGCTGCATTGGCTGGGTCATGGAGCCTGCATGCCATGCCATCAAAAGCCTAAACAGCTTTTGTTCATATACTGTTCAGCCAGATAGAGGGGGCTAAACGGGCACGGCACGAGCTAGAGAAGAGATGGAGTGATGTGGTACAGGAGGATGTGGAGCTGAGTGGACTGTCAAGATCGGCCTCTGTGAAGGAGGTTCGTGAAGGATGCTACTGGCAGTTGGAGGCAGTCGCCCTCCAACAACAACGGAGGGTGGATGAGCGATGCTCACTACAGTGAACGGAGCCTCGGGTGGCTAAAGTACAGCAAGTTGGCACAGTAGGGAGCACAGGTGGTGCATGAGCCAGTCATCTCAGTCAGTCAACCTGTGGCACCTGGGTCTGCCCCGTGGCCTTCTGCCAGCGGGCATTCAACACTGCACCTGGCCTCAACGTGTACATAGCCTGGCACAAGGACCGTGGTGACATTACCGCTACTCAGTGGCGAATCACGGATGTTGTTGTTGTTGCTACTTGGTGGTAAAGGCTGTTTAATTGGAGCAGTCTATGTGTGCGTGTCGGCCATGGTGGTGAGAGTAAAGGGAATGTATGTAGCTAGAACAGTGTGTGCAAGAGGCTGGTAACCCTTCCATCTGGTACTTATTCTAAAAGGCACCACAGTAGAAATACCAAAATAAGCTCGTGCAGGAGGCTGCAGGTGGACAGGCGTTTATGATGCCTTCTGGCCAAGCTGCATCTGGCCAAGACAGACTAAACCCCTCCCCTTGGGGTTCCTCTAGGAATAGGATACTACTGCGATTAGCCATGTTGGGACTATCATTGCGGAGAAGAGGCTACCACTCATGTGTCGGGAGATGGACCGATCCGAACCTGGACCTTTGTGGAATACAGGATGTCTGACAGTTCGGTTATGGCTCCAGTCATCACGCGTGGTGGACAGTTCTCTATACGGGACAGGAAACTGCTAAAGAACAGAGAGTGGCACTTATTTTTAACAAAGAAGAAAGGAGGTGTGAGAGCATGGCAGTGTGGTATGGAAATCTTTAAGTCCCAGGCTACTGTAGGTTCACCTCCATATCAATAAGAGGCAATTAATGGTGGTGGTTGCTTATGCTTCCACCGAAAATGAACGTCAATGGAGGGAAGTAGACAAGACCGATGAGTCAGATGCCTTCCTTAACCTCCTGTCTCAGGTTCTAGCAAAGTGCCCCCCACGGCATAGTCATCCTGTTGGGTGACTTTAACAATGGAGTGGGTCATGATGCAGACACCTGAGCTACAGTGATCAGAAGACATGGGGCAGATCAGGTAAATAAAACGGCAGGAGGCCTGCTATGCTTCTGTGCAGCCCATGTGCTTGTAGTTACCGACACGGTGTTCCGGCGTCGGCGCAACCACACCACATCGTGGAAGCACACCGGGTCCAAGCAAAAAACATCTGTTGGACTAAATAGTAAGGGCCTGGTGTATGAGGATCCATGTCCTTGACACCAGGACTTACCGTTGAGCTGATCTGCCCACTGTCGATCGGCTTGTTATCTCTAAGATGTGCCTGCCATTCTTCAACTCCGGTGGTTGGTGTCCATCTTGTACCCCATTCAAATCCACGGTGGCCTGGTCTCAGCTAGCTGAGGACAGTTGCAAGCAGACATTTCAACATCAATTACAGCTGCTGAGGGTGGCATCGTCCTCCTCTTGATGCTGAGGGGAAATGGGTGAGTTTCAGGACTGCGAATCATACAGCTGCAATGGCCGGATTATGTATGCAGTCCAGACATCCCCAAGACACGGACTGAATGAGATTTTCCCGTTGGTTGAGAAAAAATAACAGTCCAATTCCCATCTTCTACAACATCCAACATCGGAAAATGGGGAGACTTACCGCAGCCTTCGCTCGGAGGTCTGGAGATCCGTGCATTGCTGCCAGGGGAGTAGTGGACGTGCGTTGCTGTGGAGATGCAATCTACCTTAGTAGCCCGCAATAACAAATTACTCTTTAATTCCATTTAAAAGTAACGTGGAGCACCTCACCTACACCATCCTTAAGTAAGAGAACGGCAGTCCAATCCTGGACCTCTAGGAAACTGGTCTGCAGGGCAGCAGAGCATTTTTATGAGGTCTTAAAAAAGGGGAATTCCCTCAGTCCAGAAAATCCTGCTCGGGCTGCTTTGCCTCAAATATTGGCAGGAGTAACCATCCCTTCTCAGTGGCTGGCTGAGGTGCCATATGTGGAGGATTACGTGGGGCGATCCAGAGTCTGAGACAAGAAAAAGTGCCGGGCAGAGATTATCTCTCAAGCTAAATGCTGAGGAAGGGTGGCATCTGTGTGAAGACTGCCCTACATGACATCAATACAACTCTCTGGACCACAGGACGGGTGGCACATGATTGGAAGGATGCCCTGGTGGTCCCATCTCTTGACAACTACAGTGTGCTGGGAAAAGTCTTGGCAAGGATTATTCAACATCGCCTTGCCAGGCACGCTGAGGAGAGACTTGCAAAGCCCCAATGTGGTTTTATACAGGGGAATCCCTGCGCGGATGCCATATTCTCTGTCCGTCTGCTACAGCAGAGGTACAGGGAATTCCAACAAGACATATATCCCTGCTTTATTGACCTGGTTAAGGCATATGATACCATCAACAGGCCAGGGCTCTGGGCTGTTTTTCGTGCTATCGGAGTCCCTGACTTTCTGCTCAAAATAATTAAGGACCTTTTTGATGGTGGGCAGGCCCAGGTACTGCGACACGGCCAGGAGTCGGAGCCATTCCCTGTTCACCTTGGGGTGCGACAGGTATGTCCTCTGGCTCCCACATTATTTAACATCTATTTCGACCAGTCATGCCGTCATTTCTGTATGCTTGTGAAACCTGAACCCCTCTGATGGAACATCTGCACCGGATATAAACATTCAGGCTGGCCTGCCCTGCCCTGCCCACGATCGATCCTGGTTTTAACCAGGCTGGAATGTGTGAGAAGCTCACAAATCCTTTAAAGATCGGGAAACATTCCCATCAGTGAGCTCCTCCGACAGGCAAAGCTATGTTGGCTGGGTCATGGAGCCTGCATGCTCAACTACTGCATGCCCAAGCAACTTCTGTTTGGTTGGATAGAGGGGTCTAAGCGAACACGACACGGGCTGGAGATGAGATGGACTGATGTCATGGGGAGGATGTTGAGCTCTGTGGACTTGCTAAAGACTGGTACTAGCAGTATCAGGCCCATCCTCTGTGGTAGAGGCTAATGAAGGATGCTCTTGGGCAGTTGGAGACATTCTCCCTCCAACAACAATGGAGGGCAGGGGAGTTACACAACAACAGTGCAGCTGGTGTATCTTCCAGTCATCTCAGTCAATCCATGGCACCTGAGTCTGTCCTGTGACCTCCTACCAGTGGCCTCAAAGTGCACCTGGCCTGGCACAGCAAAGGTGGTAACGTCACTGTCACGTAGTGGTGAATGGCGGGTGTTGGTATTTGTTGTACACAGGTACTCACTAACAGCAGTTGCCATAAAAGTATGTTCAGGCTACATTGGGGGTGTTTGTCTTTCTTATACACATTCTGCACAGCCAAGTGAGCCTGAGCTGGTAAGGTGAGGAATCGTGTTATACTTTATTTATATTATGAGACGTCCTTTGCCAGTAGCAAGATATAGTAATAGGTTTTTACCCTTTTATCTGGCACCAAAACTGACACCTTTATACAAGGGATCATGTTTGCAATAACCACAACACAAGCAGTCAAAATGCAAACATTTTGCATTTTGACTGCTTGTGTTGTGGTTATTGCAAACATGAAAGGGAGTGCTCCTAATCTCAGCTTGTTACCTGTATAAAAGGCACCTGTCCACAGAAGCAATCAATCAGATTCCAAACTCTCCACCATGGCCAAGACC